TTTATCATCAGCATTACTATAATGTATATCAGCATTTAATTGTCCTGGTTCTTACTTAACCATACTATTAATTACTCAACATGACTGTAATCAGCAGCAACCATGGCAGCATATCCCAACCCACGTCCTCGGTGCACACCACACTCCATGCCCACTAACATGGCCACTCCTGTGAGTGTTGTGGAATTGAAAAAAAAAAGCAAAAGCTGTAATTCTCACTGAACTGCCTTTATACAAATGAAACAAGATATTAAAATAAATATTGAGGGCAGCCTGGAATGACAGAAAGTCAGAAATCAGAGGAGAAAACATTCAATAATGAAAACAGACTGGTAGAAAACATGGATTTGATTCAGCCTCCTTTAGCTAGCTGGGAGCATTGGGAAATTCACTTCAATTGTGAAGTCTCAAGTTTCCTCACCAGTAAAACAAGGGGTTTGAACTTGATGATCTCCAAGGTTGCTTTTACCTATAAAATTCTATGACTCTAGAAAAATAAAAGGAGAGGAGAGAGAGGTGGGTGTGTGTGTATTTAGCAGCTGTCTTATCCATTTCTTTCTTTCCCCCATATTCATGACTTCTACAAATCACTACGTGGAAGAGGGGTTCTGCAAGCTTGGCTCACTTGTTAAAATCTCGTTCCTTCATTCAAATACTTGTGAAATCCTATGCAATCTATTCTTGAAGTATAAACAAACTGCTGACCGCAGAGCTAAACTCCCTAAACCTGATGCCTAAACTTGAAACCACAAATATCTTTCCTCATCTCTATATCACTAAAGTTCTTGCCCCAAATATGATGTAAACTTATTCAAGTCAGCTAAGGGGCTTTCAGTGTATTGTAGAATCTATGCCAAGAAATTTGTCAGAAAAACAAAATAATGGGAAAGAAAACCATGAACCTAAAGTTACAGAAGTGCACATATTTCATTAAATTGTTTAAAACTATTAAGTAAAATAATTCAATGAGAAACCAACATGAGTTAGATGTATATTTCACAGACTTCAGTTTTAATGATTTTGATGCATTATCATGGGCCAGCCAATGAACAGTTCAGTTTCCAAATATGAATGGAAATGCAGGATAAAAAAATAAACATATAGTTGTACATTAGTAGTTTTCTAAGTAATGAACCAGAAAATCATGAACTTGAATGACTAATTTCCTAGCACTGAGATCAAAGAAAAGATCAATCTCTTGGTAATTCATATTTACATACTGTGAAATGGAAAAAATGATAAACTTTTAACCTACACAAAAGCCCAGAGAACATATAAAATATTCCCCACTAACCTGATCATATATAATGAATTATGATGCACATTTTGGCTTATCTAGTAGTTATTACCATAACATATTTTGTGTTTGGAAGTATTTAACTATGTTATTTTTCTCAAGCATCTGTTTAAAATTTTGCAGACACTGAAGGGCCCAGAACCATATCAATAAATTGGCTGCAATTTACTATAAATGAAGTGTGTTTACCTGAAAGGGAGCCCTGATTTAAAAGTCAAATTTACATTTTGAGAACTGTTGGTGTTAAGCACCTGAGGTATCAGAGACAAACCTGAATAGTACTTTCCTAACTGATAAGGATTTATGCATCTTTCAAAGAAGGAAGACCATCAGCAATTTCACATTGGGTTGTTACAGCCAAAACGGTGACACTCCAACACACCCTGAAGCCTGTACTTTTTATCTCCAATAAGCTTATATGGTTCATTGACAAAAGCTGTGCTGGGGATGGACAGCTAAGTAACGAGGAAAGAAGGTGGTATGTACCAACTAATAACGCTTAAAAAGAGACATCCAAGACAGGTTCCCATTCTAAGATACTCCTGCCCAGGCCCTTCCTTGATCTCCCACCAACATAAAGCCTGCCGCTGATAGGCATTCTTTCAACACATACCTCAAAATCTTTCCTAACTTCTGTCCCTCTTAAAGCTATCTTGGCTCATATTAACTTTGACACAATTTCAACCACATAAAATGGCAGTGGGTAAGGAGTGCATAATTTCCAGTTGTGATATACTCTCCAGCGTGTGATTCCTCTCACTTACATCACCCCTCAAGCAAAGATTCCCAAGGAAAACAAGGAATAAGCCTCTCTTCTAATCATAGGAAAAAAAAGACAAAAAGTGTTTTTTTTTTCCAAGAGAGATAATGCTTGTACAAATCTATTTCTTATAAACCTCACATTTCTCCTTGTCTGACTGCATTTCTCTTGAACACATTTTTGTTAAGTTATTCCTACCTCTTAACTCCTAAAAGTTATCAGCCAGGGTATCCATGGCAGGCAGCCTCTAAGATATTCGCAATGATCTCTGCCGTCTGGGACTCATGCCCTTGTGTAAGATTTTATCCTTCATTTTGAGTTGGACTTACTTGAACAAATACACTATGGCAGTAGTCATGGAATGCAAGACTGTGGTGTCCATTTTAGCTGCTCTCTCTTGGATCACTTGCCCTACGGAAAACCTATTGCCATTCTGTGAGGCAACCCCATATAGAGGCCCATGTGATGAGGGACCCAGGCCTGCCAACAACCTTGCGAGTACAATTGGAAGTGGACCCCCTCCCCAAGTGGAGCCTTCAAATGAGATCACAGCACTCGACTTTAGCTTGACTGCAACCTCATTAGAGACCTGGAACAGCTTGCTAAGGTGCGTTTGAATTCCTGACACACATAAACTGAAATAATAAATGTTATCTTAAGCTGCTAAATTTAGGGGTGCTTTGTTACTCAGCAGTAGATAACTAATACAGTATCTTATCTGACAAACTGTCAGGTTAACTGGATAAAAATGGGAATCTTCCTACCCAATCTGTAAAACTTACTAAAATTATTCTCATTTTGAAGCCTGCTCTATTTTGTAAATCATTTTCTTAGGAAAAACAAAAACAAAATCCCTCCTATCTCAGAAATATGGTTATCAAACTCCAAAGATAAAAAGAAGGGGAAGGAAGGCTGAAATCAAAAATATAAATTTGCTTCACTTCGCAGTAATAGAAGTCATTATATACTGATTTGGGAAGAAACACTTAGGATCCTTGAAAATAAACATTTCACTTCTAAAACAAGTAGATTCAATTGTTAAATTGCTAAATACAGAACTTAAAATAAAACCCAATCTAAAGACTGAGGATTAAGATTCATTTCTGTTATTTCACCCAATGAATAATGTTTATTGAGTACGCACTATTTAAGAGAGATTAGATCCCAGTCTTGGAGAAACAAATAATAAAAAATTAACAAGAGTTTCCCAATTTTTATTACCAAAGTTTGACGGCTGAAGCAATTGCAATCTATCGTGACCCTTTTTTTTTAAGACTCTAACTTTTTGTGTTTACTTCACATATAATGGAAAGTAAAAAACTAAAAAATTTGCATAGGCAGCAAAATGAAACTCATATTTCCTGAAACGCCAACAGTTGGGCCAGAAGAAAGTAACCTTTGTCATTTCTCAGCTTTATTTCAGTAAAGTGTCGGGTCACTACCTGGGGACCTATGCTGACTTATACCCCAATGGCCTAGAAACATGGAACACACCCCACTCCCGCCTCCTGACTCTGATTCCTTATTTTAACGAGCCCTCACGGTTGTCACTCAAGATGCTCTGCATTGTCATTGGTCCCAAACTCTTGCAGGTCGGCAAGTTTGTGCCAACTGGCAAGCACCGGTTGTCTATTTCCGAGAAAAAAAGTGGAGGTTGTAAGGGAGAAACAGACAAGACGTTTGTACCTGGGCGACCTGCGATCCCCACCGCCGCCGCGACGAACCGGCCTCTGGGTGGGGGCTTTTTGCCAAAAGGAAAATCCTCAGCCGGGAACTGGTACCCAGGCCATGGAGAAGCTGGTTCAAACTTTACTTCCTCACGTCGGTGGAAGTGACTGTGCCAAGAGTACCGGAAACAGCGCTAGCCTCCTCTAAACTCGGCGTACTTGACCCTGCAGCAGCCAGAAGCGCAGACGGTCCGACTTTTGACGTTTCCTATTGTTGCCGGAAGTGACGTTACAGGTTCTGAACCTTAAAGAAAAAGCATTTCTATTCTCGTTGTTTACGATTCGCTATAGATTTCTTGTTTCTCACTCCGCAGCTCGAGGTGTTCTGACCATCTAAACTATACAACCTTCGAATCTGCAATCTGGGATCGGATTGGTCACCGAGAAGGCCCTCAGCAGAGTCGGTCTCCTCAGAGTGTAGACGAACGAAGTGTGGAATCTGCAGGGAGGAATCCTGGAGCGCTGAGGAGCCGGCAGCTTTGAAGGTCTTGCCGCGGAGAGTGGCGGGCTTCAACTCGCGGTTCCAAATACAAACGGTCGGCGCGAGAAGCGCACCTGGGCGCAGGCGCCGGGTCGCAGGGACTCGTTGCGGGAGGCTGGGCGCCGTTGTCTCTCCGGTTCTCTATGCTCCCTCCCCCTTTCCTTGTCCTGGCGGGCCAGGGGCCTTCGAAGCCCGCTTCCTTGCTCTGCAGCCGCTGGGAGTGCCCAGGGGAGGCGTAGAGGCTGCGCCCTAGACTGCACAGAGGTCGCCTCTCTCCGCTACCCTTACCGAGGCCCCGGAGGGCGGCTAATGACCAGGTCTGCCTTTTTATGCTTTTAAATCAAGTGAAGGGAGGGAAGCCCCAGGTAATGCCCCAACTGATATATCCTTTTGATAACCATGGAGTAGGAAGAGTTGTGCCAGCGAATCCTTTCAGACTATGTTGCGACTTGGGGTTGGGAAGTTATAGCCTGATTGATGCCTCCTGTGGGATCATCTAGGTGAGGAGCGATTCGGCCCTTCGTAAATACTGTCCAGAGAGAAGAGATGAGAGTAGTCTGTTTTTTTCTTTGCTTGCACTTCCCTGCATTTTACTAGGGGACGATAGATTTTGCTTCGCTCTGAAAAATCTAGGAGCCCTCGTGGCGCAGTGATTAAGGGCTCCGCTAACCGAAAAGGTCAGCGGTGCAAACCCATCAGCTGCTCTTCGGAGGAAAGATGTGGCAGTCTGCTTCCCTAAAGATTCACAGCCTTGGAAACCCTATGGGACAGTTCTTTTCTGTCCTGTAGGGTCGCTATGAGTCGGAATTGACTCGTAAGCAATGTTTTTTATTTTTTATGAAAATCAATGTTGGGATTTTTGTTATCCTTTTTTATTCTGGAATTATGACGTAGTAGACTTTTCTTAGATTATCCACAAAACGTTTCACGGTTTTATATGTGAACACAGCAATCCCATTGAGGTCTATAATTGTTCCTTACTCCGTTTGTTTTTTTTTTTCAGTTTTTTCAGCCTTTCTCAGACTTGTCTCCCTATTCCTTAGAGCAGTATTTCCAGAATATATTTTGCGAAAAGTTTCATAAACTAAATTTTCCCCCATCTCTTCTTCTGTCTTTATTCCTTGTGCATGGTTTTTAGATAATTATCAAGTCTTATGAGCTATGTCATAATCCCTCAGGCATAGTCTATAATAGCTACAGAGCAGTTGCTTCTTCCTGAAAAATCACTTTGAATCCAGTGACATTCCATTGGGATGCATCATTTTAATGACCTCTAAAAAGCAGATTAAAATATCTTCACCTGCAGTGGTATACCATTTTCACCACCTCTGCCATAATAAATTCAGCTGGGCAGATCTAACTTGTAGGCAGAACCCTGGGGAGGAAGCTAGAAAGCAACATGATAAGACTTTTTTGTTGGTTAAATCTGTAATACAGGCTGAGTAATATCTCCTTTCTGCTTATAATTTTATTGATAAGCGTTATAAAATGTTAATTATTTTAAAATAAGTTATTTTTCATCTCTGAAAGTACCGTGTTAAGATGTGCATAAGCAGAAGATCGGCTTTTTTTGAATATTTTAATTTTTTAAAAAAATTTTATAAGAGACTCAAGCCTTTCATGATAATGTAGACCAGTAGCTGTAATTTTTTTCCCCTTACTTTGGGGGATTTTTTCTTTCTCTATAGTACATATTTTTGATCCCTTTATTTTTTTCTATCCTGTTTTATCACTTATCTCCTTCACCTACAGATCCAAGCTGTACTTGTATCTTACTCTTCTTCAGAATATTTATTCTGCTGTTAATGAAGAGGATGTGTTCCAGGGACATACTTTGTTGTCAGAAATTCCATTACCAGAGGTAGAAATAACATAAGTGATGTTGCAATGTGTTCCAGGACATCAGAAAAAGGAAAAACGGAAAGATACCATGAAGTATTAAACACAATTACATATACTGGAAAGATGGAATACACATCTGGAAAATTAAAGGAAGTCTTTTGGGGGAGAGATACAGTTTATATTAAAGTTTTAGAATGCCATAGGGGAGGAAACCACCTTTAGAAAATTGTGTTAAGATAGATGGGTCTGGAACCTAAAACAAGCTGGCCAATGGCGGTGCCAAGAGAAGGTTTCTCGTAGCTAAGGCCAGGTTAGCTACCTCCTTGTCTTCCCCAGGAAAGTAAAGACCGGTTTTGGGAAGTCATCTCTTTTGTCCCTTGTGTACATCTGTCCTCAGTCATACTAGATGATGTTAAATATGGTTTACCTTCTTTGCCAGTATTTTGTATAATGTGATTTCTGGATCATTTCTCTTTTTCTCATTATCTCCCATTTGACTGTACCTGAAACCCCTGTGCCTAAAGTTATGAAATTAAACTAATAAAATGTAAATGTTTAATTGAGATAACTGATTGAAAAATAGTGACTGAAACCTATGCACAAGTATATAAACGTATACTCAAATAACTTACTTTTTACCGTGATGATAAAGGAGAGGAGACTAGCAACAGGAAGGTACTGTGTCCCTAAATAGAGGGAACAGTCACTCTTCTCGGGAAAACAGTACAAAAATGGGAGGCTAGAGACTTAAAATAGAAAGCTTACTAAATGTAGGATTTTGCAAGTTGCTAGCCTTATTATCTATCAGATATGAGTAGATACAGAGAAGGTGTGTGGGGAGATGATTTGTATTCTGGGCAACCACTTGAATGCTGGTTAGGGAGGAAAGATCATACTAACTTTACTTAACCTCATTTCTGAATTTTTCTGTTTTGTTTTTAACATCAATGACTTCATTTTAAAGGAGCTTCATTTCCAGAGGATTCATTAATCAAGGTATTGTTATATATTATTTTCCCTCTATGACATGTCCACATACACTTAAGGTAGATATTTTTGAGAGTGTTATTGAGCTTTGCCTTACTGGGTTGAGTTGACTGTTAGACTTGTAGTGCGGAAGCCTTTCATCTTCTCTTCCAGCAAAGGTTCTTTTTATTTTTTTTAATTATTGTAAAAATATGAATAACATTAACGTTTGCCAATTTAACATTTTTTGTGTGTACAATTCATTGAGCCCATATATATCAATTATGTTGTATAACCATCACCAATATCCATTGCCACATTTTCCATCACCGTAAACAGAAACTCACTGCTTCCTAAACAATGATTTCACCCTTTCTCCCGCTCTCCTTCTCCTGGTAACCACTATTAAACTCTGATCTCTCTACATCTGCCCACTCTAAGTATTTCATATTAGTGAGATCATGTAATATTTGTCCTTTTGTGATTGACTTATTTCACTCAGCATAGTATTTTCAGGGTTATCCGTGTTGTGGCATGTGTCAGGACTTCATTTCTCTGTATGGCAGAGTGATATTTCATTGTATGCATATACTACATTTTGTTTATCCATTCATTCGTTGATGAGCATTTGGATTATTTCCCCCTTTTGGCTATTCTGAATAGTGCTGCAGTGAACGTTGGTGTACGTGTGTCTGTTTGTGTAGCTGTTTCCAAGCCTCTTGGGTATGTATGCCTAAGAGTGGAATTGCTGGCTCATATGACAGTTCTGGGTTTCACTTTTTGAGGAAACACCATTTTCTGCAGCAGCTGTACCATTTTGCATTCCCACCAGCAGTGGATGAGAATTTTTCAGCATCCTTGCCAACGTTTGTTATTTTCTTTTTTTAAACTTAGCTTTACTAATGCAAGGAGAAGTGATATCTCATTGTGATTGTGATTTGCGTCTCCCTAATGGCTAATGGGGGCCCTGGTGATGCAGTGGTTAAGCGTTTGGCTGCTAACCAAAAGGTCAGCTGTTTGAATCCACCAGCCGCTCCTTGGAATCCCTATGGGGCAGTTCTACTCTGTCCTATAGGGTCACTATGAGTCGGAATTGACTTGATGACAGTGGGTTTGTTTTTTTTTTTTGGAATGGTTAATGACTGTGACCATCTTCTCATGTTCTAGCTGGCCATTTGTATATCCTCTGGTGAAATGTCTGTTCAGGTCCTTTGCCTACTTTTTGAATAGGTTGTTTGTCTTTTTGTTAAGTTGTAGGAGTTCTTTATGTATTCTGGATATCAGACTTGTGTTTAATATATGGTTCCTCCAAAATTTTCTCCCAGCAAAGGTTCTTAATGACTGGTTGATGGATTTCATGTCTCCTTTGAGAATAACTTTCTTTGAGAGTCCACTGAAAGTCCTATGGTTGTTAGTTGCTGTTGAGTCAGTTCCAACTCATGGAGACCCAGTGTGTTCACAGCATAATTGTTCCATAGGGTTGTCAAGGCTGTGACCTCTTGGAAGCAAATCTCCAGGCCTGTCTCCCAAGGTACCTCTGGGTGGATTCGAACTGCCAGCCTTTCATTTCGTAGTCAAGCCCTTAACCATTTGCATTAGCCAAGGACTCCACATAAAAGCCCTACTCTATACAATAAAGTGAGTCATTTAAATATAACTACATGGCATTATTTGGGGATTTAAAAAAAAGAATCATTTTATTTAAAATCTCAAATATTGTAGGTGTCTTTTGGTGCATATATATATGTATTTCTGCTATGCATTGTCTTAGTTATCTAGTGTTGCTATAACAGAAATACCACAAGTGGGTGGCTTTAACAAACAGAGATTTATTTTCTCACAGTTTGGGAGCCTAGAAATCTGAATTCAGGGTGCCATCTCTAAGGGAAGGCTTTCTCTCGCTGCTCTGGAGGAAGGTCCTGGTCTCTTTTCAGCTTCTATTCCCTGGCTCCTTGGGGATCTCCATGTGGCATGGCATCTGTCTTCTCCCATCTCTGCTTGCTTGCTTGTTTAATCTGCTCTTTTTTATCTCAGAAGAGATTGACTTAAGACACCCTCCTACACTAATACTACCTCGTTAACATAACAAAGAAAACTCATTCCCAAATAGGATTATGGTCATAGGTATAGGGGTTAGGATTTACAACACATATCTTGAGGGGACTTAATTCAGTTCATAACATGTATTTATAGGCCTTGTGTTCTTTTTTACAGCCTTTGTGTATGTCATCTTTGGTAGATATTGCCAGTCAGTTTCCTAAAGTAATTGTACCAGTTTACCCTTTCACAGCATTGTGTGAGAGTTTCATATGCTCTATGGCCTTGCATTTTGAATTTACTTTGTAATTTCCTATTCACTAATGAAATGAGTATCTTTTCAAATGTTTACTCTTTTGTAAAGTTCCCATTCAGGTCTCTTGCCCATTTTTCTTTTGCGTTGTCTTTCTTTTTCTTATTGCTTTGTAGGAGGTTCTTTACATACCCCAGACCTGAGTCGCTTATTGGTTGTGTATATTGCCAACATCATCTTTCACTCGATGGCTTATCTTTTCGCTCTCATTTTTACCATTCACATTAAGAGTAAACGTGGAATTAATTTTGTGACTGGTGTGATGTAGGGGGTCAAGAGATACTTATTCCATAAAGGGGGTTATTTCAGGTTGATACGCTTTCCCAAGTGGTACATTTCTGTTCAAGATGAAGTTGTGGGGAGAGTGTTTAAAATATGAGACACACTGTAATAACATGAATATAAAGGAAAAACTTGGGAGAAAAAATGTTCACCTTATATTCAGGCATATATAGTAGATACAAGGCAGTACTAGACCAGTATGGAAGGTGAATTAGGGAAAAATAGCTGGTATAAGATAACTATGATAAGTGCCAGTAGAGATAGAAACCGAATAGAGAAACTTGAAAAAATAAACACTTAAAATCAGTGTTCATGGATTTTTATTTTTAGGTAAAATACTAAATTTTTTCAAGAGCTGGAGGTGAATCTAATGTTAAATAATGGCAACAGGTGATTTAAAAAGAAGCTTACGGAACCTGGAACAAGTACTTCGCTCGCTAAACTATCCTCAAGAGGTGGATTGTGTAGGGTAAGCTATACTTTCAAACTTATTGTATTCTTTTTGGTAATGATTTCAGATAATATTAGACATGGAGAGCAGTATCTACAAAGATACCAATTGATCTGCGTGCTGTGTAAATTTACCTTGAAATGATGAAAACATTTATTTAGAAAGCAGGGAATTATAGGACTTTGTTTCTAAGTAAGTACGAATTACTGAAAAATTAAACCCAAGAGATTTAAAATACCTTTCAGAGGCACAGTCTGTTGGGTATGGTTGCTGTAAACTTTTAAACTCACAGAAGTGCAGTGGATTTCATTAATTATATAATCTACCACCCTCTCACATTCAGTTAGATGATAGTTCTTATTTTTAAATATATCTATAAGGAGCAGAGTTTGCAGTCATTTCTTGTCAGCGTACTTCGTTGTTTATTCATTTTTATGGAGGACAGGTTTTATACATACATGTTTTCTTTTGGATGTGGAAGATTATAGTCAATAGATTTCTTGTGGCAGCCTATACCATGCTTGAAGATGATTATTGATTATTACTAAGCTATCCCATTTAACAGACCCCACTTTTTACAACATATCTTAATATATCTTTTTGGTGAAAGTGTGCACAGCAAAACAGGTTCCCATTCAACATCTGCACGTAATGTTCAGTGATGTTGGTTGCATCCTTCACGATGCGTCAACCCCCTTATTGTTTCCATTCCCATTAGCTTAGTCTCACTGTCTCCCAACTTTCTCATCTATGCTTTAGGGTAATGGTTGTCCATTTGGTCTCGTAATTTTTTAACAGAGTGCAGTATTTAAGGGAGGTATTCTTTACTTTTTCAGCTAACCTGCTATTTAGTTAAAAGGTGACTTCAGGGGATAGTTTGATTCAAGGTTAAAGAGTATCTCAGGGCAATAGTCCCAGGGATTCGTCCAGTCTCAATGAGTCCAGTAAGTCCGGATTCTTTGAGAATTTGAAGTTCTTTTTTTTTTTTTTCCATTTCTTTCAGGGTATTGGGACCCTGATCTGAACATTTGGTAGTGGTAACCGGACACCATCTAGTTCTGATCTCAAGGTAGAGGAGGCTGTGGTTCATGGAGACAATTAGTACTGTATTCCAGTTCCTTCTCTGATTCTTAGATTTTCTTTATTCTCTTTTGCTGCAGACAAATAGAGACTAATAGTTTTATCTTAGATGGCAGCTTGTAAACTTTTAAAACTGCAGACACTACTCACCAAACTAGGGTGTAGAACATGTACTTATGAACTATGTTATGCCAGTTGACTGAATTGACTCTTGAGACTATGACCCTAAGTCTTTAAACCAAGAGAACTAATCCCATGAAGTAGTTGGTTATGTCTAAGAAGTATCAGCTTCTGTAGCTCCTATTTATTACTAATGACTATATATGTCTATTTATAACTGTATATATACACATATACGTGTACATACACATATATATTATATATGTATGTAGGTTGTTGTTGCAAAATTATATATAACATAGCTCTTACCAGTTCATCTTTTCTCTTATGGACAGCTTAGTGATATCAGCTGAACTACTCAAGCTGTGCAAACTTCACTCACATTCACTCACATCTGGTGCTACCTTTCCCATCACCGTAAACAAAATTCACTGCTACCTAGAAAGAGTTCCCTCCCCACCCCCCCACTTCTGGTAACCACCAATGAACGTTGGTCTCTGTGTATATACGTATTCTTGTCATTTCATAAAAGTGAGATCGTTCAGTATTTGTCCTTATTTCGCTCAGCATAATATCCTCTAGGTTTATGTACGTGGCAAGATCATTCGAGAACTTATTTTTCTTCATGGCTTCGTGGTATTCCATTGTATGTATGTACCACATTTTATTTCTCCATTCATCCATTGATGGACACTTAGGTTGTTTCCATCTTTTTGCTATTGTGAATAGTGCTTCAGTGAACATAGGTGTCCATATGTCTGCTCGTGTCTTAGGAGTGGAATTGCCACAGACCCCACATTTTTAAAGGTTTTTAAACCTTTTACTTTAGTTTCCTCTTTCCAGATATGAATTACTCGCTTTTGTGGAAAGAAATACATTTCTTCCGTATTCATGTCAGTCTGAAATCATACATACTCCTGTCATTGTCTGTCCCTTAATCCTCCGTTTTTCTTCATAGCAAACTTATCCTTACCTGGTACGATTGATTGATCGTTTGAATACTTTTTAGTACTAGAACGTAAGCTGATGTCTGGGACTTCGTTTTGTTGACTGCCGTACCTCCATATTGAGAATTGTGCCTGGTGCATACTAGGGGTTTAAAATTGGACGTTTACTGAATAAGTGTCAAGAGACAGGTCAGGCACATGTTCAAGTACTGTAGTAAAACTTGATTAAACCACCTACTAAGTAAAATCCTCAGTGACGAGCTTTTTATTGTACATTAGGGAAAGCTAACCCCATTGAGAAAGTGGAAAATTTAAGAGAATGAAACAATAGTGAGGACTGTAAGAAAAAAAATTAGCAGGAAGTATGAAACACATCCACAGTATGTACCACTCATAATTTAGAGTTCCTCAAAACATAGGAAAATCTCAACTCTACAGAATTTGCAGAGACTTAGCCAGTTTGAGTAGCTGAATTTTCTGCTTATCACTTTAAGCTTCAACATTTTTATAAAAGATAATTTAAAATATAGTGATTATTCTTGTGTCTTCTAAGTAGAACATTTGAACATTAAATTTTCTTATTGACCCAAGTGCATCATTAGGAACAATAATTTTTAGGTTATTCCATAAGATAGTACACCCACTCCTCACTTGTCAACATGGTTAGGTTCCAAAGACCAGGCTGTTGTGGAAAATCAGTGTTATGCAAAAATGGAGGATTTTTTTTTTTCCTGTTTTCAGACCATCCATTTATCTGATATTTTTTTGGAAAACGTGATCATAGAAATGATAGCTAAGATACTCTGATGTGGTCCTTCCTGTGACGAGTTCAGTTACAGAGGATTCCTTTGCAGAGAAGGAGGTGTGGAGGAGACGAAGCTGGATAAAGCTGGGCTGTGTGACTGGAGGGCCCACAGCTTGACCACTTCACCTTCTCCTGTGCTGGGTCACAGCTTCCCTGGCGGAGCCGCCTCTAGGGCTTCACTCCCATCCCTGCAAGCGCTGTGTTCACGATCCTGGAGCCTGCTCTGCCCTCTGGCCTGGCAAGTCTCCAAGGCTCGAGGCTCGGGGCTTCCTGTGAGGGCGCTGGGAGCCTGGCCGTTCACTGGGCCCCACTGGGGTAGAGGCCTCAGGCCCAGTTTGGCTGACTTTGGGATGTCATTAAATTTGCACACATTTCTTCCAAACACTTCTCCAGTGCCTCTTTCTTTCCTCCCTTCCCACTCCACAGTGATTTTGAGCTACAGGGCCTCAGGCTGCACAGGAGCTGGGAACCCAGGACAGGTACCCGCTGGCTCAGTGCTGCCTCTGTGTCCGCTCAGAGGCCGTGGCCACGAGTAGGCTGGCCCACAAGGCAGCTGGACTCAGCGCCCCGCCGGCAAGAGGAAGCAGAAGGCACAGGGCAGTGCAGCCCAGCTTCCCAGGGGCCATTCGGAGACCCTCCTTGAAGAAGGGGATGCTCTGGACCTGTGGTCACTATATCTACCACGTCATTAATTAGCAGAATAGTTGGATAGTAGGTTTTTTAACTACTCTCGTAAATATGAAGTGTCGGATAATGAGATAGTCGATAAGTGAGGAGTAGGTGTAATATCTTCATGGTCTTTTGAGATAGACAAGGCTTCTTCCAAAGAGAAGCTTGGACTGCTGCACACGCGCGCGCACACACACACACCCCCCCCCCCCACACACACACCCCCACACACACACCCACACACGCACACACAAACAGCATATTTTGATTCTTTTATCACATTTTTTTTTCTTTTTCTTACCGTTAGCTGTCTTTTGCTATTGGTATGCCAGTTTATAATAACCTGTTTTTCTTAGTGTTTTTAATCTGAGGCCAGATAACCAAGCTTTTTGGGATTGTTTAACATAAGAAATCTTAAATGTAGGCCTGGCTGTCTTCTATTTGTAATGTGCATAAAATGGAGTGTTTTGTTGCTCAAAGGCATTTTTTATTTCCTGTTTTTGGCCTATATCCAGATAAACAAGGTTGCCAGAGCTGTTCTCTCATTGGGTGAAATATTACTGTGCTCATAGGCAGACTTAAAAGGGAAACAATTCATATTTGTCCTGAAAAACAAAACGTAATGTTATCATCATATAGTTGCTCTCTGCCTTATCAATAAAATTGTAAGAGGATGAGGAAATTGATACACGTGTCTTGAACGTGTTTTATGTAAGTATAATATTACTTCAGTTGAACAAATATGATTGGCTAATTGAACAAATGTCTCCTGTGCGTTGTTATGGGAGAATTTGAGGGTACTTCCCACTGAGAAAATGAGATCCGTATGTGTGGAAAATTAGAAAACAATGCAAGACAGAGAATGAGGTAACAGACCCCGAGTACCCTGGGAGTCGTTCTGGGAAAGCTCATTATGGGTCAGAAAGTTGAGGACAGCTTCATGGAAGGCTTGAGATTTTTTTTTTTTTTTAATTGTGCTTTAGGGGAAAGTTTACAGCGCAAATTAGTTTATCATTCAGAAATTTGTACATAAGTTGTTTTGTGACGTTGATTGCAATTCCCACAAGGTGTCAGCACTTTCTCCCTTTCTACCCCAGTATCCTCATGTCCATTTGTCCAGTTTTCCTGTACCTTCCCGCCTTCTCGTCTTTGCTTTTGGGCAGATGTTGCCCATTTGGTCTCATATACTTGATTAAACTAAGCAGTGTGTTCCTCACATGTGTTCTTGTTTGTTTTATAGGCCTGTCTAATCTTTGGCTGAAAGGTGGACTTCAAAAGTGGCTTCAGTTCTGACTTAGTAGGGTATTTGGGGGCCATAGTCTCAGAGGCTCCTCCAGTCTCTGTCAGACCAATAAGTCTGGTCTTTTTTTTTGTTTTTTTTGAATTTTGTTCTACGTTTTTCTCCCACTCTGTCCAGGACCCTCTATTATGATCCCTGTCAGAGCAGTTGGTGGTGGTAGCTGGGCACCATCTAGTTCTTCTGGGCTCAGGCTGGTGGAGGATATGGTTCATGTGGTCGTTAGTCCTTTTGACTAATATTTTCCTTGTGTCTTTGGTTTTCTTCATTCTCCTCTGCTGCAGACGGGATGGGACCAATAGATGTATCTTAGATGGCTGCTTTCAAGCTTTTAAGACCCCAGATGCTACTCACCAAAGTAGGATGTAGAACATTTTCTTTATGAACTTATGCAATTGACCTAGATGTCCCCCAAGGCCTTGGTCCCCAGTCCTCAGCCCCAGTAACTCAGTCCTTCAAGGTGTTTGGGTATGTCTAGGAAGCTTCTATGACTCTGCCTTGGTCAAGGTGTGCTGACTTCCCCTGTATTTTGTTTTGTCTTTCCCTTCACCAAAGTTAACACTTGTCTGCTATCTAATTAGTGATGTCTTCTCCCCACTCCTTCCCTCCCTTATAACCATCAAAGATTTTTTTTCTGTATGTATACCTTATCTTGAGTTTTTATAATAGTGGTATCATACAATAGTTGTCCTTTAGTGACTGTTTTTTTTCACTCAGCATAAAGCCCTCCAGATTCATCCATGTTGTGAGATATTTCACGGATTCATCATTGTTCTTTAACGTTGTGTAGTATTCCATTGTGTGTATGTACCATAATTTGTTTATTCATTCATCTATTGATAGACACTTAGGTTGTTTCCATCTTTCTGCTAGTGTGAATAATGCTGCAATGAACATGAGTGTGCATATGTCTGTTCATGTGACGAGTCTTATTTCTTTAGGATATATTCCTAGGAGTGGGATTGCTGGGACATACGGTATTTCTATTTCTAGCTTTTTAAGGAGACACCATATCATTTTCCATAGTGGTTGTACCATTTTACATTCCCACCAGCAGTGCATAAGAGTTCCAATGTCCCCATAACCTCTCCAACATCTGTTATTTTCTATTTTTTTGATTAGCAACCATATATGATAGAGTAGAACTGCCCCATAGAATTTCCAAGGAGCGGCTGGAACATTTGAACTGCTGACTTTTTGGTCACCAGCTGAGCTCTTAACCACTGCACCACCAGGGCTCCATTTTTTTTTTTTTTTTTTATTGTACTTCAGGTGAAGGCTTGCAGAACAAATAGTTTCTCATGAAACAGTAGTACACATATTGTTTTATGACATTGGTTAAGAACCCCACAACATGTCAACCCTCTCCCTTCTCGACCTTTTTTTTTTTTGGTGAAAATATACATAGCCAAAGATAGACCATTTCAAAAATTTCTACATGCACAGTTCAGTGACATCGACTACGCTTTTCCAATTGTGCTGCCATTCTCACTTTAGATGAGGGCTTACAGAACAAAATAGTTTCTCATTTAACAGTTAGTACACATGTTGCCCTATGACAATGGTTAACAACCTCACAACACATCAACACTATCCTTACTCAACCTTGGGTTCCCTATCACCAGCTTTCCTGTCCCTTTCTGCCTTCTGAGGGCTCCATTTTTTTGATCAGTGCCAGTAATGTTGGGGTGAAATGGTATCTCATTGTAGTTTTGATTTCCATTTCTCTAATGGCTAATGACTGCGAGCATCTCTTCATGTATCTGTTAGTCGCCTGAATGTCGTCTTTGGTAGGAAGGCTTGAGATTTCATGAATGACTCCTAGAGGATGAATAGCAGTCAGAGAGGCAGAGAACAAGGAGATAACTTTCTAGACTGGAGGAATCAACATAAGCAAAGATTTAGAATGAGCCTAAAATAAATAGAAGATAGTAAACTGGCCAGCCTAGTCACAGGAGGTGCTTTTTCCAGCCATGTTTTTCTCATTTGTAACTTAGGAGTCATCATATTTACCTTCATAGATTTCTGTGAAGAGTAAATGAGGCAATGTAACAAGTGCCTGCAAAACCATCACGTGTACTTGACCACTGTAACATGGTCCATTTGTTTTATTAATAGACAGTGGACTAGGTCAAGTGAGGCTAAATTTTAGAAAATGAATAAATAGTTCAGTAGACTGTTGGTACAGGAGAGCTAGGATAAAAACAATTTTTTTACTGGCTTTTTTATTTTTGTATGGTATTTCTCAGTTTAAAAAAATTGTGATTAGTTGATTTTTTTCTTATCCTAAATAAATATTCACTTTCACAACTTCTTTGTGTTCATAATTTTGTATTCTTTCTTTATTTTTTAATAGTATTTTGTCATGTTTTCAGTGAATGTTTACACAGCAAATTAGTTTCCCATTTGACAATTTCTACACAAGTTGTTCAAGGACATTAGTTACTAGGGTAAAAGTTTTTTTGTTTTTTTTTTATACTTTAAATGAAGGTTTACAAAACAAATTAGTTTCTCATTAAGCAGTTAATATTGTTTTGTAACATTGGTTGCCAACCCCATGACGTGTCAGCACTGTCCCCTTCTTGACCTTGGGTTCCCCATTACCAGCTTTCCTATCCCCTCCTGCCTTCTTGTCCTTGCCGCTGGGCTGGTGTGCCCATTTAGTCTTGTTTTGTTTTATGGGCCTATCTAGCCTTTGGCCCAAGGGTAAACTTCAGGAGTGACTTTAGTACTGAGTTAGAGTGTTCAGGGGCCACACTCTCGGGGTTTCTCCAGTCTCTGTCAGACCAGTAAGTCTGGTCATTTGATGCTTAGGGCTCCAGGATTGACATTTGTATCTGTTTTACTTAGTGTTTTCGAGTCTGTGCTGTAGAGGGACAGTGTGGTGCTTCTGTCTATAGTGCCATGTTGGTTCTGCCCCTCTGCTAGGGTAAATTTTTGAGCTGATGAGAAATACTATTTTATAGTAACCTAATAATAGACCAGTTTAGAGTGGGAGATGGAATCTAGAAAATCTTATACATCAGCTAATAATTATGGCTATCATTATAAATTATTGACAACATTTGTCATATTTACCTGATTGTCCAACTTTGTGGAATTACACTCATTAAAAGCCCTTTTCTTTTTTCCTAACAGTTTGATAAAGGGAGACACAGCAGCATCTTTGCCAATCATCAGCTATTCTCTGACTTCATATTCACCGTATATAGCAGAACTTCTGATGAAATCCAATGTAGAGCTCATAGCAAAGAATGACTTGCGCTTTATAGATACTCTCTATAAGGTATTGACTTTATGAAACGATAATTATTTTAGAAGTTATTGATTGATTTATGAAAGTTAAGTATATACAGCACACACATTTAACAGTATTTTCATATACATTTATGTCATTTAAACGTAGTCCCTTTTGAAATCAAGATGCAATTCAAGTTTGCTTTGTAAATGTTTTATAATTTAATAAATATGACAATTGATAAACATTTGTCATTGGCTATCATTTGCTCTTTTTGTATCAAATTAGTAAATCAGTAAAATTTGGTACACTGGCCAAAATTAGAAAGAAGTGTCATTTTATTGAATAAAATTTGCAGTTCATAGAATTATGAGTTGATTTAATTGTTTGTAGGAAGTAATTAAAACTTTTACTGAGGTTGTATGTTCTTTGAGATCCGAGTCCCTGTCTTATATTGTTTCTACCCTAGTATCTATACTTGTCTATACGTATAGTGAATACATTTAGTCTCATAGTTGATTAAAAAAGAATCTTATTTTTATTGTTAATTTTTGCTGAAGTACTATGGCTTTCTTAAACTTTTTTTTTTTTTAGTGATAAAGCCCATTATCGAATCCCGTCTTTAAAAAAAAGTGGAGTTGCATTGGATGAAATGGGAACTTTTTTGTAGAGAGTCTTTATTTAATCTTCCCTTTCTTTGCCTCTAATCCCCAAAAGTCTTCCATGGAAGCCTTAGAGGCACTTATGAGGAATTCCAGGATTCCACAGAGAATATTTTGAAACCTGTGGATCTAAATCTCATTTTCTCATTTTACAAATGAGGAACTGAGACTCAGAGGCCAACTGACTTTCCTAAGAAGTCACATAGTAGGTGAATTATAAACAAATGGAATTATAGTTTTCTGATATATCTGGTATAGCATTCTTTCTTCTATAGTGAGTTAAGGAGTTTTTCTAGTACCTATGAGGATATTTGACCCTTTTTGATGATAAAGTACAGTGAAACCTGGGAGAGCTGGAACTTGACAGAACTGCCTTGTTTTTCTGGGTCTCACAAGCTTTCCACCTTTGACAGGTACAGTCTTAATGCTTTTGTATCTCTCGTTTTAGTGGAAAATATTTGACTTTTCCTTCTCTGACCAGTTTCGGCCTTACATAGATTCCAGCTTTTGTAGGTTTTACTGTATATTTCTCCACGTCTCTGGATAGCCATCTATTCTCTGGCAGATCCCTAGCTACCTGCTTTCTTCCTGGCTATCTCTTCTTCCTGGTCATGGCTCACACCATCCCTATGAATGTCTTTAGTACCATTTAGTTAATAGCTTGATCCTTCTTTTCCTCTCAGAGATGGCATTAACCAGATGGCTGTTTATCCTTTCGGATTTTAGAAAGAGGCTGCACCTAATTATTACACCAGTCTGTTCCTTCTTTACAGCTTCTTCGTGATCAATTTAATTATAAGCCAGTTTTGACAAAAAAGCAGTTTCTCCAATGTGGGTTTGCAGAATGGAAAATACAAATTATCTGTGATATTTTGAATTTTGTGATGAAAAAGCACAAGGAGTTGAGTGGTTTTGAGAAGGTAATTCTGTGAATAGATTTTAATAGTAACTTGCTAAGTGGCCCACTATTTTAACATGTAAAAGCAATACCCTACACAGAAAATTCACAGATTTGCATAACCTTACAAAGCCTGATGTTTGCTTTAAACACTGGTGACTTATTTTTATACATCTGTGGCTTTGAGCTGCTAGTCCTAAACTAACAGTTCAAATATAATGTATTTTCATCATTCTTAGTTGTCAAAAGCAACACAGTCTCATTACTGTCTCATTACTTGATAGTCATATTTCAGATATGAACACTTAAATGATAGTAGAATTTAATGTACATCATGCTTTCAAACAAGATTTGTTATTCTAATATTTTTTTTTTCTAGACTCCATCACAACAAAGAAAGAAAATCAGTTTTGGTAAGTCAGAGCCTTTGGGTAGTGAGAAAACGTCTACAGAACCTGTCAGCATTGACGTCACTGGAAGGTTTATGACTTCAGGAAAGGTATGGGAGAAAGGAAATGTGTCATGCAGTTTGAGTAAGGTTATCTCTCAATTAATCCAGTATGCAAGGCTCATTTTTCTGACTGGCACCTGGTAGAACATTCTTGTCAGATATTAGAATGTGGAGACTTTTTAAAGATGTAGACCATATATTTTTCTGGAGAACATTCTAAAGTTATAAGAACAGGGTAGAAATGTAAAACTGAACTGGCTTTCTCTTTGTATTTCTAATTCTTAATTCTGCCTCATTTCTCAGAACAGTAGTGACTTAGGAAGATTATGCTATGTGGTCCTTTACATTTGCTGTTAATGACGTATCTGGTCTTTGTAATAGATGTGAACATATGAAGAACCTACCATTAGTAATGATAATAGGTTACGATGATTCACTTGTATATGTTCATATTTCTATAACCAGGAATATGGATTATGTGGTAATTGATAGTAACTAAACCTATAATCTGGTTTTGGATTAGTGTTTTAGGTATTTTCTCTCATGCTGATAGAGAGATACGCTTTGATCATCTGCAGCTGATGAGTCCAAGGCATTTAGAATATAATTTTCTATGGCTAAAGGAGACTGAAGCCAAATGTTATTTTATAATCGTAAATGGACTTTCAACTGTCTTCCATCTGGGGTAAACCCTTCTGGAACTGAAGGATGGAACCAGATGAATAATTAATGTGTAATTAGAGAAAGGATGTGAATAGTTTCTGGCTGAAGTAAAATACAGAGAATTATTTCTGCTTTAATTCGAAATTCATGAGTTACACATTTATTAATTATGAGTTAATATAACTAAATGTACTTTTCAATCTTTATTTCATTATTGGGGCTGGAGGGTTATCTTTATTGTCTTAACAAAGGGAGATTCAAAATTTCAGGACATTGCATTTTGTTATTTTAAAACAGTTTTTTTGTTACCAAAATTTAATCAATTGCATCAGATCTTTAATCATCAGAAATTTGAACAACTATTACAAGTTCTCAGATGAGTCAGTAAGTGTATTTCTTTGTTTACAGGCAAAAATTGAGAGAATACTAAAGCAGATTGTCTCTCTTCCCAGTACCTTCTATAGAACACTTTCTATGGCTTCTGTATCACATATGTTTTTAAAGTGCATATGTGGACTGTTTGTGAAAAAGGAAGTAGGCAGCAGGGTCCTGCATAAATGCATAGTTTATGCATTACTGTCAAGACTTTTCCTTTGCCCTTGTTAAGTTTGAGTTGTTAGCAAAGATCTAATATTTTGTTTAAATAGGAAAAAAAAATTTAGTGAGTCTTACAGAGCCAGTTCTTGATAATTTCCGTGTGTATTATTTCAGAGGCTTTTTTCCTGACATTTTTATGATGGAAAATTTCAAACACTACAAAAGTACTCATCATCCAATTTCAACAATTTGTCAGCTTGTTGCTAATCATGTTTTATTTGTATTCTAACCACTTTCCTCAATACTGCTGTCCTGCACAACACTGAAACATTTAGAAACAATCCCACACATCACTGAATAAATATTTCAGTATTTTTTCTAAACTATGAGAATGCGTTTTAAAATTACCATTGTGATTTTATCATTACATGTAAAACATAATAATAACTTTATATATGTATATGTGCTAATTTAAATCTTTGTGAATCATAAAAGGAATCTAAGCTGTTTCTTTTATGAAATTACTGCTTGTATGTTTAAAATAGTTTTGTGAGAAAAACGTTGAAGCAGCCCTTATGTATTTTTCTCAACGCAGAAAAAAGCTGTGGTGATTCGTCACCTGTATGATGAGGATAGTGCCAACGTTCCTGAAGACACATTAAGTACAGGAACAGATGTTCATGAAGGCTTTGATGTGTCTGACATAAAGCCTGCTGAAATAAAGACACCTGAAATCAAGGTCCCTGAAATCAAGTCTGAGCAACAGGTAAGAATTTTGGACTTCTTTAACAGATGCCAGTATTTCTTATTTTGATGTGATTATTTTTGTATCTAAACTCTGAAATGTTTCTAGCCCTCTGAATTATTTATCATGACACATTACCTGTATTTCTGTTACTTAAGAATCCGTAAATCTTATTGAATGTAATTCAACAGATATTCTTTGCTGCTTAGGTTATGATAATAGGCTGCAATGTATTATGGGTAATGCAAAGATGAATAAGACACGGTGCTTGCCTTCGAGGAATTGACAGTTGAGTGGGAAATAGTACCTGGCTCAGTGGTTAAGAACTCAACTGCTAACCAAAAGGTCTGCAGAGCCGTTGCTGTCAAGTCGATTCCGACCCATAGTGACCCTATAGGACAGAGTAGAACTGCCCCATAGGGTTTCCAAGGAGTGGCTGGAGGATTTGAACTGATGGCCTTTTGGTTAGCAGCTGTAGCTCTTAACCACTGCACCACCAAGGCTCCAGTGTTCTCTGTATTTAGGAATGGCACATCGCTGCCCTTTTCTTTTTTTCTTTTTTCTTTTTCCTTTTTTGGGTCCTTGCCGTCCTTTTCTCTTTTAAAATACCATTTCTACAAATTTTTATTGCCACAGTCCCCGTTATAGCGTTTACTCTCTAGTGCTTCTTTGAAACCTTCTTTTTCTGTCTTTCTCGTATGTCTGTGACTTCTATATATGTCATCATACAGTTGGCATTTATAAAAACTACCATGTGGCCATTGGGCATATTTCCTGTTAGAGGGCCAGCTGAGCAATCTCAGTGCATTGAGGGCATCTTAGCTTTGTGCTAGATATCATTACAAGAAGCTAGCTAGGGCCAGTTTTATTGTACCACCTGCTATTGTTCTAAGAGCTTTTGCAAATTGACTCATTTAATCCTCAGAAGACCATATGAAGTCATGCAGCTTAGATGAGCTAGCTGGTTTAAGCCCCCAAGCAGTCTGCCTCCAGAGGTAGCACTCTTAACTTCCATGCTGTACTGCCTCTTTTAATACTGGAATAATACGATGGAAATGGGAATGCACCGGTTTTTAAGGATTTCAGTTTCTGTAATATTATTTTTTAATCTTTCTAATCGTTGTAGGGTATGAAATTTGATCCTGAGATTACTGTACTACAGACTATGCTTGCTGAATGTCAAGAAAAGCTTAAGAAGCTTAGTTGGCTAGAGAGTAGGGTAGAATGTTTAGAAGAAAAAATGAAAGGAAAAGTGATGGTAAATGAAAAGACCTGGACTAATCTTCTAAGTCGTGTCACTCTTCTTGAAACAGAAATGCTTTTGTTGAAAAAGGTATTTGCTTTTCTTAACATTTATAGAATGTCTTAGGTACAATAAAGTATTTCCTTTATTCATTGTTATGTGTCTATTCTTTTGGAAGTGCTCAATAAAAGAACATTTAGGAATGGCAGAGTCTTTAGTTAAAATCAAGTCCTGATTATGTACAACCTGTTTTGTTGTTGCTGTTGATGTGGCTATTGTTTTTACTTTATCAAATAAGATAATCTGACAAACCTGTAAATTGAGGACTTAGAGCTGTTAATACTACTTCAAAGTACTTAAAATGATGTGAGACAATGTTTGTCTTTGTTCAGGAAAATCTTGAAACTATTATTATTTTATATCCCTTATTAGTACAAATGGTGTGTTTTCACAGGGTAAGGAAAAACAAATATTGGCAGGAGAGGAAAAATTAAAATTATAACTCTTACTTCCTTTTCTCACTTACCTAAGTCATATTGTGAATTACATAGAAACAGTTACCAGATTTGGCAATGAGTTATCAGATTTGTTTATTTACTCAGGATTTCAATATCTGGTCTACTTTTCCTTTCTGGAAAGCAAAGTTAGTAGATTAAAACAATTTACTACCTGATTCCACATTTAATAGATTGTTCATTATACATAGGAATATTTGTGTATTGCTTTATAAATTAATTAAAAGTAATTAAATATTATGCCATCTTTATACTTTATGCTTGGCAGTAATAATATTAAATGATATTTTTCTTATTTTATTCTAAATATTAAATTATGATTCCAGAATGATGAATATATAGAGTTGAATGAAATGAGAGAGGACTCTGCTTCTAGTAGGCACATGGATCATCTGAGTTCTGGTAAGTTCTTACAATATTGGTATTGGTGGTATGATAAGGAGTTTGCACAGAAATGATTTTTATGGCTATTTAATAATTTTAATATTATCGAGCCTGACTTTTTGTGGAAATTGCAGAGCTCCAAGAAATGAGGAAAATATGAACCTACAGACTACTGAAGCCAAGGAGATCTTAAGAGGCCAGCTCACAAAGAGTAGTTGAGGAAGTTAGAAACTTCTAGAGATGTTCTGCTCTTTTAGTCACTCAGTGCTCTAGCACAATAAAAACAAACCTCCAGAGTTCCTAGTTTAAACTTAAGTAGTAACTTTTTCCCCTACAAATGCTAGAAGAAAGAAGAAAACACATTTGTCACTAACCTGTAAAGTGTTATACACCTCTTACGTTCCGACAATTCACTGGTCACGATAAAGGAGCAGATCTGAAATTAGGCCAAGTCTTCTCCGTATCACTTAATGTCACGAGGGTATGGACGTTTTCAGTGTGACTGAGCAACAAGGGTTAGGATTTCTGGTCTGTTTTTCAGTGACAGCTTTTATTTTATTTTTTTCTCTCTTACATAATTTATTTGCTGATTTTTTTGTGTTTGTTTTTCCCCTCCCTATACTTTCATTCACAGAGCTGAAGTGAGTCTTAGGAACATAAGGTGTCAGATATTGGCCTTTTGTTGTTGCTGTTGTTGTTGTGGAAATGTCTGGATTCACGACCCCGCTGGGTGTTCTAGGCACTGATAACAGATAATTCACAGAGAGACTGGCAGCTTTCATCTTCCCTTCCCTCTAAGTTTCAGAGCTTTTGTCTGCTGTGGTCGAATCAGTCATCTAGTCCAAAAGTCTCAGCAGAGGACGTGGCTCTCTCTGGTGTTCCCAGATGTCTTGGCAGACTTCTCCCTGCCCTGGTTACGTACTGCTGGGAGCCAGGCACATGAATTCTTGGGTGTTTACTGCTGTTGCTCTGTACTAGCAGCAAGGGGAGAAGAGGGACCAAGACAGACCCAGCTGGTTATCTTAAGGCCAAGGGTTCAAGGCAAAGGCTCAGACCAGGTGGGAAAATAAAAATTCTCGTGTGCTAGTGAAAGTGTTGGTTGGACGAACGGGAGTCAGGAAGTGGTGCAGTGAAAGAGGAATTAGGCGTGTTAACCTCTCAAAGCTTCAGGGACAGAGACACAGCCCAGGGATTGTTGACGAAGGACTGGATTACCAGTTAATAGAGCTAGATTAACCATCCAACATTAAATCAGCCATTGAACACCCTGCGGTTCTATTCTGACACACAAGGGATTGCCACGAGTCAGAACTGGTTGTTTGCAACACTCTACGGTGGTTTGTCTGTCTTCGAGTGTGTCTGGGTGGATACGTCCTCTGAGATGGAACCAGTTCAGAGGGTCTTCTGTGCCTCCCCTATCTCTGTCTTTGTCTCTATTTCTGTTTCTCTTTCTGAGGAAGGGGAATTGAACTGTGAGTGGTCTAAGGAGAACTGGGGCTGTGGTTAGCTCTTTTTTTTTTTTTAATTGTGCTTTAGGTGAAAGTTGTTTACAGCTCAAGTTAATTTCTGATACAAAAATTTATATACATAGTCTTTTGTGACATTAGTTGTAATCCCCATAGTGTGACAGCACGCTACCGCTTTCCACCTCGGGTTCCCTGTGTCCATTCAACCAGTTTTGTCCGTTCCTGGCTTCTCATCCTCCCTCTGGACAGGAGCCGCCCATTTGGTCTCTCGTGTATCTGATTGAACTAAGAAGCACATGCCTCATGTGTATTATTTTTTGTTTTATAGTCTGGTCTAATCTTTGTCTGAAGAGTGGGCTTTAGGAATGGTTTCAGTTCTGGGTTAACAGAGCATCCAGGGGCCATAGTTTCAGGGGTTCCTCCAGTCTCTGTCAGACTATTAAGTCTGTTTTTTTTCTGTGAATTTGAGTTCTGCTTCACACTTTTCTTCCACTCCATCCGGGACTCTCTGTTGTGTTCCCTGTGGGGGGAGTCATCAGTGGTAGCTGGGCACCATCTAGTTCTTCTGGTCTCAGGCTGGTAGAATCTCTGGTTTTTGTGGTCCTTGAGTCTCCTGGGTTAGTATTTTCCTTGTATCTTTGGTTTTCTTTATTCTCCTTTGCTCCAGGTGGTATGGGACCAATTCATGCATCTTAGATGGCTGCTCGCAAGCTTTTAAGACCCCAGACACCACTCACCAAAGTGGGATGCAGAACATTTTCCTAATAAAATTTGTCATACCAGTTGACCTAGATGTCCCTCGAAACCATGGTCCCTAGGTCCCAGCCCCAGCTACTTTGTCCCTCAAAGTGTTTGGCTGTGTCCAGGAAACTTTTTAGCTTTTGCTTTGATCCAGTTGTGCTGACTTCCCCGGTATTGTGTGTTGTCCTTCCCTTCACCTAAGATAATTCTTGTCTACTGTCTAGTTAGTGAATTCCCCTCTCCCTACCTCCCCACCCTCGTAACCATCAAAGAATGCTTTTTTTCTGTGTTCAAACCTTTTCTTGAGTTCTTATAATAGTGATCTCATACAATATATTTGTCCTTTTGTGACTGCCTTATTTCACTCAGCATAATGCCCTCCAGATTCATCCATCTTGTGAGATGTTTCACAGATCCGTCATTGTTCTTTATCGTTGCATAGTATTCCATTGTATGTATGTCCCGTAATTTGTTTAGCCATTCATCTGTCAGTGGGCATCGAGGTTGTTTCCATCTTTTAGCTGTTGTGAACAATGCTGCAGTGAACGTGAGTGTGCATATTTTTTGAATCTTACATTTTGTATAAACAAAGGTCTGAATGAGTTCTGTCTCGTATCTGTGCTTAAGTCATATTTGTCCAATTGAGAACTAATATTGAAGTTAAATTTTTAAATGTTTAGATGTTTAGCATCTTTAAATCTTTCAGCCACTATATATGTAACAATTTAATAATAACAATAACGACAGTACATTATAGTACTAACTATATGCCTGGCACCTTTCTGAGTGCTATGTTAACTGATTTAATTGTCAGAGCAACCCTGCAAGATAAGTAATATCCATATTTTACAAATGAGAAAACCGAAGTGCAAAGAATAACTATGCCAAAGGCACACAGCTATTGAATGGTGGAGCAGGTTGAAATCAAGACAGCTTGGCTCTGAAGTATTCTCTTAACCATTACAAATTTAGTGCACATGCCGATTTATTTGCACAGAGAACAATTTTAGTGATTAGGTTATAAAATATAACTATTTGAGATGCTGTTTCAGGCACTAAATTTAATATGGACAGCAAAACTCAGATTTGGTAAAAGGTAGATTTTTTTCCTCCGTTTATTATTCAGTTATTCAACAAATATAAATTAGAGTCTAAGACTGTTGAGAGCAAGAACTTTATCTTATGGACTTATTTGTTGAGTACGTCTGTATTTCACTCTGTCTTCAGTACCTGCATATGGTTGAGCTCAAGTTTTTTATATTGAATGCCTACTATTTGCATAACATTGCCTTTTCCAGGCTTAATTTTGCATGTTTCAAGCTTAATGTATTCTTTTTTTTTTTTTTTTAATTGTGCTTTAGGTAAAAGTTTACAGGGAAAATTGTTTTCCTGTTTGATCGTTTGTACATCAAGTGTTCCGTGACATTGGTTGCATTCCCCACAATGTGTCAGCACTGTCCCCATTTCGCCCTGGGTTTCTTGTTTCCTTTCGTCTGGTTTTTCTACCCCTTCCTGGCTTCTCACCTTTGCTTTTGGGCAAATGTTGTCCTTTTGATCTTGTACAATTGATTGTTCTAAGTGCACATTCCTCTCAGGTGTTATTGTTTGTTTTTTGGACCTGTCTGTTGTTTGGCAGAAAAGTGGTCACTGAGAATGGTGTCAGTTCCAAGTCAGAAGGGTGTCTCAGGGCCATAGTCTCGGGGATTCCTCCAGTCTGTCAGACCAGTAAGTCTGGTCTTTTTTGTGAATTTGATTTTTTGTTCTACATTTTTCTCCCTCTCTGTCCAGGACCCTCTGTTGTGATCCCAGTCAGAGCGGACAGTAGTGGTAGCCAGGCACCATCTAGTTCTTCTGGTCTCGGGGTGTGTAGGCTGTGTTTCATGTGGCCCATTGGTCCTTTGGCCTAATTGCTCCCTTAAATCTTTTTGGTTTTCTTCACTCTCCTTTGCTCTGCATGGGAAGAAACCAATAGTTCTATCTTAGATGGCCCCTCACAAGCTTTTAACGTCTCAGATGCTACTCACCAGAGTAGGATGCAGAACATTGTCTTTATGAACTATGTTGTGCCAATTGATGTAGATGTCCCCCAAGTCTATAGTCCTTTGCCTTCGATCCTAGGAACTTCATCCTGCTAACCGTTTGGTTATGTGTAAGAAGTATCTATGACTGTGCCTCTCGTGTGCGCTATTGTCTGTATTAATGTACATGCAGCACCTACAATTATGTGTGTAGAAATATCCACAACCATACCTATATCTGCGGGTGGGTGGGCTCCCTTAAACCCTCCCAAACCATTTTGGCATACTTATCTACCTATGTATCCATTTGTAAATTATTGTTTGTTAATACTTTTATTGCAGGATTGTCTATGTTGTAGTAATTACTGTGGTTGCCCTTTATTCTTGAGTTCCTCTAAGTATCTTCCTTTGCCTGCGTAATGTTGTGCTGACTTCCCCCATACTGTGTATTGCCTTTCCCTTCACCAGTATTTCAGCCCTGGTGGCGCAGTAGTTAAACATTTGGCTGCTAACTAAAAGGTTGGCAGTTAGAATCCACCATCGGCTTCTTCAGAACCCTATGGGGCAGTTCTTTTCTGTCCTGTAGGGTCACTATGAGTCAGAATTGACTCAACAGCGGTAGGTTTAGGTTTCTTTTTTTCACCAGTATTAACACATGTCTTCTATCTAGTTAGTAATTTTCCCTCCCTCCCCCTGCCATTCCTGGTAACCATCAAAGAATGTTTTTTTTCTGTGTGTAAACTTTTTTTTTTTTTTTTATAATAGTGGTCTCATACAGTGTTTGTCCTATTGT